GAATGGATAAAAAAAATGTGGCATTTATACACAATGGAGTATTACTCTGCATTAAAAAATGACAAAATCATAGAATTTACAGGGAAATGGATGGCATTAGAGCAGATTATGCTAAGTGAAGCTAGCCAATCCCTAAAAAACAAATGTCAAATGTCTTCTTTGATATAAGGAGAGTAACTAAGAACAGAGTAGGGTCGAAGAGCATGAGAAGAAGATTAACATTAAACAGGGATGAGAGGTGGGAGGGAAAGGGAGAGAGAAGGGAAAATGCATGGAAATGGAAGGAGACCCTCAGAGTTATACAAAAGTACATACAAGAGGAAGTGAGGGGAAGGGGAAAAATAATACAAGGGGGACAAACGAATGTCAGTAGAGGGGGCAGAGAGAGAAGAGGGGAGGGGAGGGGAGGGGAGGGGGGATAGTAGAGGATAGGAAAGACAGCAGAATACAACAGACACTAGTATGGCAATATGTAAATCAATGGATGTGTAACTGATGTGATTCTGCAATCTGTATATGGGGTAAAAATGGGAGCTCATAACCCACTTGAATCAAATTGTGAAATATGATATATCAAGAACTATGTAATGTTTTGAACAGCCAACAATAAAAAATTAAAAAAAAAAAAAAAAAAAAAAGAGATCATGCTAAAAAATAAATTAAGAGAATATGTGCCGGGGTTGTGGCTCAGTGGTAGAGTGCTTGCCTAGCATGTGTGAGGCACTGGGTTCAATCCCTGGCACCACATAAAAATAAACAAATAAAGGTATTGTGTCCATCTACAACTAATATACACACAACACACACGTATATATACATATATGTATATTTTTTTTTTTTAAGAGAAAGAATATATGTCTTTAAAAGCAGTGGGGAGCAAGTGAGCCAGCATTATTTAAAATCACTTTCAACTATTTCTGGGGAATGCTTTACCACAAAAAATCAATAGTCTCAAATTTGGTAAGAGTGACACACCAATTATTGACTGACCTTTTCATTCTGCAGGGCATCTTATTTACATAAGTATTCAAAAATTCACCAAATGCCAATTTTTCTAATAAATACTTGAAAACTACATCCAAAAATTCAAAGAAGCTTGGATTTAAGGTCATAGAAAAAGGTCATTCATGCAGGAGAATGGGAGATAGAATATTCTTGACATTTAGAGAAATATTAAACAGTAATTCCACATATTTACACAACTATTTTTTTAATTTCAGAAAACCACCAATTCGGGCTGGGGATGTGGCTCAAGCAGTAGCGCGCTTGCCTGGCATGCATGTGGCCCAGGTTCGATCCTCAGCACCACATACAAACAAAGATTTTGTGTCCGCCGAAAACTGAAAAATAAATATTGAAATTCTCTCTCTCTCTCTCTCTCTAAAAAAAAAAAAAAAGAAAACCACCAATTCTTGGGTAAATATGGTAGTCCCTTTGTTAGCCTACCAATGTACTAACTTATCCAATAATAAGCCTACAAACACAAAATGCAAAACTTTTCCAAAAATAAGCCTACAAACACAAAATGCAAAACAGATCATTTCTACCTCTAGGAACAAAGTTTCTGGTGTAAAAATTTGTGATGTAATACCTCTTTGACGATATATATTATTGCTAGAAAAAAATTCATTTGGCTTGGTTCTCCAATGGATCAAATTTCCCAATGGCAGAAACCATAGTAACATGTATTTTGTACTTACACATGCTCTTAATAAATATATCCTGAACATCTGAGTCAGACTATCAATTAAACTTTTTGTTGTAAGTGTATACTGAATAATAAGAGGCAATTTTTTTTAAAGTGGTACTGGAAATTAAACCCAGGGGTGTTCTACCACTGAGTTACATCCCCAGCCCTTTTATTTATTTATATTTTTATTTATTTCTCAGACAGGTAGGATCTCACTAAGTTGCCTAGACTGGTCTCAAATTTGGATCCTCCTGCCTCAGTCTTCTGAGTAGCTGGGATTATAGGCATGTGCTCCTGTATCCAGCAAGAGGCAATGTATTAAAAAATATAAGGGTGCTCTGAAACAGAACATATACCCTCATATAAAAGAATTCTTACTTAGTTTTCCACTATTGTCAGGAGGTTGAGGTGAAAGGTGACCAGCATCACAGTGTAACTGAAAGTTCTGAGGGTGGCATGGGGGGATTGGAAGGCAAGCTGTATAGAGTGTTCTGCCCCATTTGTAATACGTAACACTACTATGTGATACATGTAGAAGGCGAGATTTATCTTAGGTTGTTTACTTAGGTTCCTTCTCCACCTAAAAGAGATTTGATTCTATTGATGCTAATTTTTTTTTAAATCACAGAATCAGTTTTCAACACAGTAGATAGAAAACTTGGATGAAATAAATCAACAGTATAAAGTATACATTAGTATTTATGAGTTCAATATTGTTAAGTGCACAAAATATATAACATTGTGTTCCTGTCTTACATTAGAGACTCCAATAGCTAGATATTTATATTCCTTAGAATGACATGACAAAACCTTACTAGCTTATTTAATCATATGATAAAAAATGACAAGTATATGAGGATAAAGTAATTAATTTAGTCTCTAAATCTTTAAAACTTTTAGTTTCTAAAGCTGAATACCTAGTAAGTTTACCCATTTGTCACTTTTTATCTTAACAAAACTTCAAAATGGATTTATTTTTAAAAGGCCTGAAGATAGAAAGTGGGTAAAATAACTTATGCACTAACCAGGGATTGTTTGGATATAATTATAAATTGCCAATCACCACAATTAAATAATACTTAGATTAAAAGTTATTTTGTTAAAAAAAGGAAAGAAGAAAGAAAATCAGATATTATCTAACAAACTAATTATGAAACTTAAGAATGGTCTCTAAAAATATCTATAATTAATACAGAACAGTTTTTTTTAAAAAAAGGCTTACTGTCTTGGTGAGTTAGCAGAGAATTCCTCTTCTGAATCAGGAAAGCTTAGGGTTTGCCAAACACGATTATTTTGTTCAGTGGAGAGGGCATCTCTTTCTTGCTCAGGGTGGATTAATTTTAAGGTCTCTGTTCCATTTTCTCCCTCTGTCTTGTCACTTGGATTTGGTTGTGGTTCTGGACTCTTTAAAATCAGATCATCTTCACTTATAGAGACTGTGAGGTCATTGCTACTGCATAAACTTTCCTTCTCCTGTTCTTCCTGCATTTTTTGTAACTGTGGGTCCCCATGGGCAAGATGATCTGTAAAGGGGGATATGAACAGATTATTGATCAAGAACTTCCTGGAGAATCAAGGTAACATAGAACAGAATTATTCATCAGTTTAAAATATGCAGAAAAACCCACAACTAATGATAGTATTTAAAAACCCAAAAATATTTTTATCTTATTTTTTATTTTATTTAAAAATTTGTTATTTTTGTGCTGGGTTTGAGCAAATCCAGGGCCTCATGTATGCTAAACATGTGCTCTACCAATGAGCTACACCCTCCACCCTCAAAAAATATTTTAAAATATTTTTTAAAAATCACAGTGAGTTTAAAATATCAGTGAACTAACTGTAAAAAACCATTTACATGTACACATTTATGAATTCATTAAAATGGAATTCATTCACATAATAATCACTATTTGGGTTTCTGGCAAAGAAAAAAAATAGAGTATATTTTATCCTTATGTAAGATCACTAATACCCAGAAAAATGAAACACTAACAAAAATCTGTAAACTCAGACAGCCTCTCACCCCACCTGAGAAACCTTCCCAAGCAGAATGCTTCTCTTGAGACCACTTATTTTCAGATGCACAGTGTTCTGAAACTGATATCGCAGAGACAGGCGGGCTGGCTCTTTCTTCCTCAACTTCAATATGTTCTCGTGTCAGTATTTCTCCCTCTGATCCCTCTGATCTGCTGGAACTGTCACACTTTAAATCAGTGGTCCTGTTCTCTGGACTTAATCTTTTCTGTAACGAGGAATGAAGTTCAGCAGACTTTTTGCCTTCTGATAAATTACTCTTGCTATGATGTATGTTGCTTCCTATCTCCAAGCAATGAGTTTGTTCCTCCTCAGACAATACACTGGCTGTGACTGGCGTTTTCTCACCAATCTGAAGAGATGTCTTTCCATCTATTCTGTCAGACTTATTTAAGCACTCTGTGTCACTATTAGTTTGTACTACACAGCTGTCTGTCACATTGCTTCTCTGGGCTGTCTGTTGGTGTGAATGTGGGTCAGGAATTGAAAAGTTCTTTGTGGGTTGGGGAGATTTCTGCTCTATACTGAAAGCTCCAAGGCTTGAGACGGCTGACATTTGGCGGCCCATAAACATTGTTGCTGGTTGATACAATCCTTTTGACACAGTTGTCCCCAAGTTAATTCTTGCTTGCACTGCAACCTGCAATGAGATGTGAGTTAAACATTATGTGTAACAATCAGGTTTTTTTTTTTTTTCAATCAGATTGTTTTTAAAAATGAAAGAAACATGACCATGGAAATCAGCACTTACCATAATTTATAAAACTTGTTCCTCTCCATGTAATGATGAACAAAAACAGTACAGTCCATGCTATTTAATTTTAATAATAATGTGATCCACAAAGCAACTAATGCCAAGAAACTATGAATGTTTTTTGAAAAAAAAAGAAATGTATGTACTTAATATAATTAAACTGCATGCTTAAAATTAAATTAAAATGGTAAATTTTATGATATGTATAGATATTACAATAAAAAAAACAAAAAAAGCTATGAGTTTTAAAAGCACTCCATGGAGAAGCTCAGATTCAATCAAAGTAACTTGACCAAAGGAAAAAAAACGGTAAGGGAATGGGTATACAAAAAACTATTGGAGGTTTCAAAGTTCTATTTCTAGTATTATAAGTAATATAAAAATTTCTTAGGCTGGGGATGTGGCTCAAGCGGTAGCGAGCTCGCCTGCACGGGGCGCTGGGTTCAATCCTCAGCACCACATAAAAATAAAATAAAGATGTTGTGTCCACCGAAAACTGAAAAATAAATATTAAAAAATTCTCTCTCTCTCTCTCTCTCTAAAAGAAATTTCTAATAATAACCTTAAAGATAGAATTAAAATATATTGTATCATGTACAAAATATTCATAATTTATAGTCCAACTGTAAACAATATCTATTTTTCCTGACCATCTTCAAGTAATTTTACAGAAATTTCAAGCAATTTCCACTTATTGGTATGTGTATAGGAAGAATGAGCATAATCTCTTACAGAGATATAGAGAGAGAGAGCAAGGAGACACTGAAGCAACTAGTTTGTTGGCTTCATCAAGGATGCACAGAGGAAAGAGGAACTAGAGGTAACAAGCATGAAGACTTCAGAAAGTTAAGTGCTTTTCTTCAAAAGGAACCAAAACACTTCCACACATATAAGAACATTTATTTCACAGAGGCAAATAGAGTATATAGGGAGATGTATTTGCACCCCTTTGCAGATGAAAACACCAAGGGTCAACTATTAAGAGAGAAAATGTCATACACACAGCTGAAACAATCCAGATCTTGCTTCTCTTCAAATACACTGTCTTTTCTATGCAAAAGTAAAAGAAACAACTTTGATGTGAACCAACCAATGACAGTGATATCAGAGAAAGTGGTAGAATCAGGACCTCTAAAATTTCTCTGCTCCACAAAAGAGATGATAATACTGGGAAAATTTTTCAGAATGACGTTTCAGAACTCTGGAAAATAACCAGGCTTGCAGCAACCTGGGGGTGCATTTAAGAAAAACAGCTGTATCTTGATAAGAACAGAGAGCTTTATGGTATGTTAACTTATCTTATTCCCATTCCTTCCCTAGAAGTCTGCAGTAAACTTCAAAACTTGTACTCACAATGAAAACCAGCAGCAACGTTAGAGAAGATTATGCTAAGTGAAGTTAGCCAATCCCCAAAAAACAAATGCCAAATGTTTTCTCTGATATAAGGGGGGTGACTCAAAGTGGGGTAGGGAGGGAGAGCATGGGAGGAAGATTATTTCTAGATAGCAAAGAGGGGTGGGAGGGAAAGGGACGGGGGAAAGGGATTAGCAAGGATGGTGGAATGTGAAGGTCAACATTATACAAAATACATGTATGAAGATTTGAATTTGGTATCAACATACCTTATATACAAACAGAGATATGAAAAATTGTGGTATATATGTGTATTAAGAATTATAATGCCAAAAAAAGAGTTCATGTATAATGGCATAATTTGGTGTGAACATACTTTATATACAGAGTTACGAAAAATTGTGCTGTATATGGGTGGTAATGAGTGTAATGCATTCCACTATTGTCATGTATTTAAAAAAAATTTAAAGGAAAAGCCAGTGAAAGAGCTGCCATGTGGAGGGTCTGAAAAGCTCCAACCTATTTCTGGGAATCTAGATGGCTACCTACATGCTCAGGAAACATTTCAAGAAGTTCCTAAACTTTCACCTCTGGCTTGCCTTGAAGCACTGTACAAGCAGGAAGTAAAGACTAAGGTAGGGCTGCAAACTACCTGGATGAGTGTAAAAAAAAGTGTAAAAAAAGTGTGCCCCAACACACATCAGAGCCTGTTGGCAAAGACTATGAGAATTCTAGTTCCAAGTATTAAAGAAAGTTCTGTCTAGTCATTACCTTCCGTCACTAAGTAAACTAAACAGAAACGTCAGTGAACAGACATGAAAAATAATACAGATTTTACATATTAGTTCAGAAAGTCACTTAAACAAAAAACACAAAAACAATTCTGGGAAGGGGGAAATTGTCACATTTTATTATTTAAAATGTTTGTTTCAATAAAAAAGCAGGAAAAATGAAAAGAAACAAGAAACTACGGGTCTTACATGGAGAAAAAAAAAAGCAGTCATTAGAAACCATTCCTCAGGAAGCCTAAGTATGGTATTAAACTTACTAAAGGCATTAAAAGTTATATTAGATATGTTCAAGGAACTAAAGGAAATAAGGTCTAAATAACTAACATAAAGTATGAAAATAATGTACAAATAGAGATTATCAATTAAAGAAATATCAATAGGTCCTGAGGGTAGCACAGTGTTAAGGGTGCTTGCCTAGTATACACAAGACCTAGGTTCCATCTCCAGCACCGCACACAAATACACAAAAAAATTAATACAAGAAACCTAAGTTATAAAAAATAGAAATTAATATAAATGTGGAATTTATGCAGTTAAAAAGTACAATTGCCAGAATGAAAAATTAACTACAGGGCCTCAGCAGCAGATTTGATTAGACAGAAGAAAGAATCAGCAATATTGAGTTTCTCTGGTCTGAGGAAAAGAAAGAGAAATGAATAGAAAACAAAGAAAAATGAATAGAGCCTCAAGAGACCTGTGAGACACATAAGCATGCAATTAAAAGTCTCAGAAAGAAAAGGAAAGAAAGAGTTCTGAAAAAATAATGAAAGAAAACTTTCTAAATTAGATTAAAAATAAGCTACACATGAAAGAAGCTAAATAGAGTCAAAGTGTGAGAAACCCATAAAGATTCACATTTAGACACATCATAATCGAATGACTAAAAGACAAAGAATCTTTTTGTGTATATATGATGCTGATGATGCAACCCAGAGCCTTGTATATGCTAGAAAAGTACTCTATTACTGAGCTATACCCAACCCTCAAAGAGAGAATCTTGGAAGCAAATATAGAGAAGTGATGCTGTCACATCCAAGGATTCCTCAATAAGGACAAAAGCTGATTTCTCATTAGAAACTACAGAGGGCCCGGTGCAGTGGTGCATGCCTGTAAACCCAGAAGCTTGGGAGGCTGAGACAGGAGGATTGTGAGTTCAAAGCCAGCCTCAGCAACGGTGAGGAGCTAAACAACTCAGTGAGACCTAGTCTCTAAATAAAATACAAAATAGGGCTGGGGGGATGTGGCTCAGTGGTTGAATGCCCCTGAGTTCAATCCCCAGTAACACCCACCCCCCAAAAAGAAACCATGGAGGTCAGCTGGCACATTCAAAGTACTGAAAGTAAAAGACTGTCAATCAAGAATTCTATACCGGCCAACACTTTCCTTCAAAACTGAAGGAGAAATTAAGGTAGTCCTAGATAAACAAAGACAGACTCTGTTACTACCATACCGCCAAGGAAATACTATAAAAAATACTTCAGGCTGAAATAAAAGAACACTCAAGAGTAACTCAAATCTACATTAAGAAATAAAGAATACTAGTAAAGGAACTGGTAAATACCAAAGGTGATGATATATATATATATATATATATATATATATATATATTTGTTGTTTTACAACTTTTTTCTCCTATATAAAGACATCTTTGTAAAACGATAATTATACATCTGTATTAATATCCAACATATAAGGGGCTGGGTTGTAACTCTATGGTAATGCACTTGCCTAGCATGGGTGGGGCACTGGGTTCAAGTCTCAGCACCACATATAAATAAATAAATAATAAACGTCAATCAACAACTAAAAACAATTTTTTAAAAACATGTAACATGTAAGATACAAAGCTATAGCTTGTATTATAATAATATGACAAAGAAGTAAAGAGAGAATGGAGTTATATAGATGCAAAGTTTTTACATGCTCCTGAAATTAAGTTGGTATTAATACAAACTAGATTATTACAAATGTTGTCTTAGTCAATTTTCTACTGCAATAACAAAATACCTAAGGCTGTCTACTTTACAAAGAAAAGAGTTTTGTTTATATCAAAGTTCTGGAAACTCAAGAGAATGGTGTTACCATATGGTTGGCTCTTGTGAAGACTGGCTACATTACATGGTAAATGGCATCACTGTGAAAGCATGTGTAAGGGGCAGAAATCACATGGTGAGTCAGGAAATATTCACAAGTTATGCTTGCTTTTATAAATAACTATTCTTACAGGAATTAACCAGGGTTCAACAACAATGACAATCTTTTTCAGGGGCAGCACCCTCTAACTTTCCACTAACCTAGCTTTCCACTAGGTCCCACCTCTTAAAGGTTCCATCACTTAAATATCACAATGCTAAAGACCAATCTTCCAGCAAATTAACTTTTGGGGAACACACTTAAATATATCCAAACTATAAAAGATGCTAACTGAAATACCAGGGCACTAATAGGAAAATAAATGACAAGAAAATTAAAATGGTGCATTAGAATATTCTGTTTAACCCAAAAGGAAGTAGTGTTGGAGAAATAAAGGAAAAAAAATAGGTAAATACCAGTAATTCTATTAAATGTAAATGTATTAAACACTTCAATTGAGACCAGAGACTAAAAGAATGTACTTTAAAAGAACATGACTGTTCTTTTAAACAATGCATATATACTTTTCAGAAATAAAAAAAGATTACAAGGAAAATCTTGAATAGATGTATGCTAACATATTAGACAACCTTGACAAATTAGATAAAA